TAGAGGTCTAACCTCTTTGACCAAATGAGTAGAGAGTGCCACTGTGTGCCATATACTTGTGAACAAACACATCTTAGTAAATAATAAATGAAGTCCTGTTAATAGAGATCACACAATAGGTTGTGGCTCCCTACCTTCAAATGTTTGTTCTTCTTCCTTATACTTTATTATTTAATAGTGGCTGCTCGGTCAGTAAATGCCAAATGTTTTCTTGTAAAGGAATATTTTTTCTGCAAACCCATCACGTTATTTACTGTTTGCTCCTCCTTTGAAAAGGGGGCCTTTTAACTCGGCTCTTATTTTCTCTTTATGTCTCCCAGACATCTTTCTGATTGTTGTAGTTTTTATCTTATGTGGATTGAGTAGTCATGATCATCATTAACAAGTTTGCAATAAAAAGAAAAAGGAACAGGGCTTAAATGAAATAATATCTATCAAGCAAACAAACAATATCTGCAAGGCAAGTTAACAGATAAGAAGGCAAAAATTTCACAAAGTAAGAATTGGCATCATCACACAAAAGCAAGTTTGGGCAAGGGAACATGGTGGTAAGTCTTTTAGACAAGGCAGATCTTGGCTGAGTCATGTCAAACAGCAAACTAGCCTATTTTTATAGGCTAAGGAAAATATCCCAGCATGCATTTGTGAACTTCTGCCTATAAAAGGGGAGGGACAAGTGTTTTGCAGTCATTCTCAGTAAGAATGTAATCAACATCTTAAAATTTCCTCATTACTTATGTTTTCTGTCCACATTATTATTAGCATCTTTTTGTAGAACTATTACTCTGTTGCTTCAAGTTTATTCTTCACCTGTTCAGCACTCACTGCTATGTAGAAGATATTACATAGAAGTTCAACATCCTTTTCTTTGTTTTTCACAGAACATTTTCCTCTCTCTTAATACTTTTCTTAGTCTGTGAATGGAAACACTTTCACTATATCTATGTACCTTCAGATTCCTGTTATCTATTATTATGCTACCCAGACAGTTAAATTTTTCTACTTGTTTGATTTTGACAGCCCCAATATGTAGCTCATACTTTGGGCTGTCTCTTTTGCTGACATTTATTTATGCTTATAATTTCTAGATTGCCTATTTATGCTGGTTGGGTGGTTGAAGGATATGTAAATATGTTTGGGTTACGAAAAAGGTAAACCTTTGTTGTGTTTTAAAGACAAGATTAAATGCAAATTAAAAGCTATTAAGATTTCTCTTTTGAAATGCCTGCTCCAGATCATATTAAATGAAGAGCTACTATGGAGGTATTACCAAATTTGAAACAACTTTTCACACACACACACACACATTAAATTGAACTCAAATCAAATATATCAGCCCCTTTATCCAACAACTCTGTCACTTGTGCTGACTGTGAAATGTTTTGTTGATCAATGGCCAAATTGACACATCACAAAATACACAATTCTTCCATTTATTAAACTGAACTGTTGGACCCTTGTCTATCAAAATCGATGGTGAATCCATCATTATATAATCACATATACTTTACTATGAAGACATGATAGCAGTCTCATCTCACAACCTGTAAGTACTGTGACAAATTCTTTTCAATAGGGCATTCGATGTTGTAGATGTTTGGTGGTTTTCACTTGTTTCTCTTTTTTTTTTTTCTTTTTTTTTTTTCATGTTTCTGTCCTGTACACTTCAGGCTTATTCAGGTGTCTGTTGTATTCTGGAATGTTGTTACATCTTGTCCTGGAGGAGCATACACATGCTTTCTCATATATGCCACATCTGGTTCTTTCAAATCATATTCTTGAATTTCTCTCTCCCTTATCCTGTGCAAGGGCTTTGTAACTGCTTTTTGAGCTTTGCTTGTTCTCCTGTCTATTGGTTCATACATATGGCATCCTAAATTCTTCACTTGTTCACTCCTAATTAAAAAAAAGTAAAAAAAATAAAACACACACAACAAAAATGAAGAAATTGTTCCAAATAAAATCACATTCAAGAATTAATACTTACACTGTTGCATTGCTATGGCATTATTCCCAGATTGTGCTGTCCATTTTGGTTCCAATAGGATACTCTGGAGTACAGCCTAAGCCAAGTGCCATCCAAACACATAATAACAATACATAAGGACCAACATTTCATTGTATCTTGAATATATATAAATATATATAAATTTAGTGGATACCCATATTTCAGTAGATGGTCTGTTTATTTATTAAACAGTATATTTTAATTTAATTACATCTACCGGCCTGAATATTCAAGAAATCTGCAGGTTCCAGCATGTTTTTTTATTAAGATTATGGGTATCCACTGAAAATAATGTTTAATTTATAAAAATATGTTGGATTAATAAATGAAAAATCATTTAGAGAGTATATATATATTATATATATATATATATATATATATATATATATATATAATTTAATCAACAAAACAATAATGTCCAGGACACAAAAGATTACTCGGAGTGTAAGAGAATGAGAAGACTTTAGTAAGGAAAAAGGACAATAACTGAACAATATTCAGGAAGGCAGAAGATTGTGATTGGCATTCCATTTAAAATTTTGAAGATTATCAAGATATTGGGAGGGAGTTCCACTGGTGAGAAGTGCAAAAAAAAAAAAAAAAACTATTTGAATCGAACATATGGTTGTATCTAGATAGTTCAACAGTAAAAAGGTGAAATCTAGTAGTATGCTTAGATTAATATAATCAAGACACCAAGGAGGAAAGCTCATCAGAACAATTGCCATGATAATATTTGTAGAAAAGACAGAGGGAAGTGATTGAAGTTGAGATGCCTGGTCAGGATTGATTACATTACAGATCCTTCTTTGAATTTTGTCAAGAATGTCAAGATATATAGTTGGAGCACCAAACCACATATAGAATAATATTCAATATGTGGACAAATGATAGATTTATAAATGGATTCTGACAAGAAAAATTATACTAGATGGAAGACAGTGAACTAACTTTCCTAGAAGTTGACCTAGCAATTGATTCAATATAATTACTCTACTTCATATCAATGGAAAATGTGAGCCCAAGAAGGTACAAAGTGTTCCTCTCCTGTAGGTTAGAATCAGCCATGCTTATGTCAGGCAGAAGAGGTTCTCTGGTGGTTAAATGAAAGCAGTTTTGTTTTGGAGATATTTACAAGCCATTCCTTGCTCCAGTTAAACACTGATTGGAGGTCCTTTTCAAGAGCAGTTACCAGTTTTACTTTGTTGGATCTGTCAGACTTACTACTAAGACAGGAGTAAATAGATATGTCATCAGCATAAATACCTAGTTGAGAACTGGTGACATTGGGAAGGTCGTTGAAAATATGAAACGACATAGATATAAGGATAGATACTTGGAGCACCCTCCATGTTTTAATCTGAAATGAAATTGAAGCATGTCCATTCAACACAACCTATGTTGATAGCAGACAGTGTAAGTTTTGTAAAGATGTATAAATATGCCTACCACTGTAGAAGTGTTAAATTCCATGTCTAATAAAATTAATTTGAAAGTCCATTTGGTTTGCTCTCTTTGAAAAAGTGGAAATACTTGATATAATATTTATAGTTATTTACAGTCAGACTAATATCCTCATTTTTGGCTCTCGAGCTCTCCAGCCTTCTTCAAGTGTTAATCGATGTAACCTTCAAGGAATTTCAAAATGAACACATTATTCAATCTTCTCATCCCATTGTCCATGTCTAGGGATATCTCATCTTTTTTAATTGTTTGTATATTGCTGGTACTGTTTCCACTGAGTATATCCATAATGCCCAGCCCAGGGATTGAACTCACAATTATCATGTCACCAAATTCACTAAGCAGTACTTTAATCTTTTATGCCATTGTCCTATGGGACAGTCCTGAAGCTGCAAATTAGAGCTTTATATTTGATATTCTTTTGGCCTTCTCTGCTGTTTTTGGAGCCTTGCTAACAAGCTTGACTCTCTTTGTTGCTGTTTCTCTTTATTTTGTATTCCTGTCCTTTTGCCATTGCAGTGTTTTTTTTTTATGTCCTAGTGTTATTATCAGTTGCTATTGTTTTTGGCACATGGTGTTTTTTCTTTCTTAATGGCTCACATATAGTATTTATAGGCTTGTAAATATTAAATATTTGCAGCTGTAAACAAGTTTAGAAAATGTATATGTTTCTGACAAGTGTCTTCCTGTATAAATGATTACAAAGAAATCACTTATATTCAATTTGTGTGTGTTAATTATTATTTAACTTTTGTTAATTATTATTTAACTTTTGTGTTAATGGGAAAAAAAAAACAAAACAAAAGTTAATGATAAGAATTTTTTTTTTTTTTGTTGTTTTTCACTTTTTCAGCCTGGAAAAAAACAATGTCTTTTGAAGTCAAAGTAAATCTACTATATCTAAAAGATCATTAATGAGATAGACGAAAAACCAATCAGTTAGGACTGATTGATGAATAAGCAAATTGATTGAAACAAGTATTTGGTTCACAGGTATAACAATGAAAAAGCAGATTGTGTTAGCTTGTCACCCGATCCACACACACACACACACACACACACACACTGAAAATGATTGGTGATGAAAATCTTTTTGAAGAGGGATTGATTTTTTATGCCTGCAAAGGGTTGACAACCCTTTGCAAGTTATTTAGTACCAAAAAATATTTCAGATTGTATGAAGTTGCTTACAGTACCTGCTGTTCACTAGTGGTTCCCCATCTAAGTACTGACCGGGCTCGATGGTGCCTAACTTTGATGATCAAATGAGAACCTTGATTGATTGATTTGTTTTTTTATGGCTTATCAATCTTTTGTAGGTTATTTAAAGCCAGAAAATATCATTTGTAGATGATATTGATTTATACAGATATTACTAATTAACCCACAGATGGAGGAGAAGAGGTGGATTCATACTATTCCGAAGGGTATTTGTGTGTAAGTGAATATAACAAACCTGACTGGAATTGGAACCAGCCTATCTGATTTCCAATTGTAAGCCATTTTCTTTTACAGCTGCCTATCCAAGCTTACAGTACCTGGTATTCCCAAGTGGTCATCCATCTTGGTACTAACCAGGCTCAATGTTGCTGAACTTTGGTGATCATACAAGAACTGGTGTTTCAACATGATATGATCATAAGCCATGAGGACCTTGAAGGCAGAAAACTGTTCTGGATATTATATGCTTTTTGATTAAAACAATTCCGCATAAAAAGATAAGCCAGATGTGAAACAAGTTAACCATGTTTTGCATTCTGGACATTGAATTAATGACATTTTTCATTTTAACTAAAGACAATCCTTTCTCCTTTTTTGATTAAAACATAATCTGACATGGAGTGTCATCTATATTATAAACGAGGAGCTGATTCTCTGTCTGTCATACATCATCTGAGTGTCACTTTGCATACGCATATGTAACATATATGCATGTGCCTATGTTGTGCAGGAGTGACTTTCATGTGCTTGGGACATTTAATATACAAACAAGTAGATGTATATACATGCACAATTTGACAGAGTTTGACATACGACATTGGAATCATACATTCCTCCCTGACTTGGCCTGGACAATCACTACCCTAGGCTGAGCAATAAAATCATAAAAGTGGAGACAAGAAAAAGAAAAACTTGAATATTTTGTAAACTCTAAAAAAAAAAAATAAAATCAGATTCCATAGGTGCTCATGTCTTTTTTCAATTCTTGTCTCTCTTGGCAAAAGAATTCCTGCAGGTGGGGGCTGTTACTTTCTGTGGTAGTAAAAAAAAAACTCAGGTAAACACTTCAAATCAGTTAAGATCAAAAGCTATCAGAGCCATACCTGGATGGAATTATCATCATTATTATTATTATTATTATTATCATCATCATCTACTACTACAATAACAAACAAATAAGAATAGGGCTAACAGAAATGGATAGATCTCTTTGGTATTTCAGGGCTGGCAGGTGGAAAGCATTACTCTGAATTATATTTTTCTTTGAAAAGATTTCTGCCAAGCATTTGAAGATTTACCATTTTTCTAGATTTTTCTTTTCTTTTTTTTTTTTTTAAAATAAAAGAAAGAAACTGACAGTAAAAAAAAAGAAAATGGCAGATAATTCATCCACTTTGTCAACATAAGATATAAAACAGAATTTCTCACTGAAAATTTGTCTTGAAGATAAAGAATTTGTTTGTCTTTTTGTTTATTGGTTTTATGTTTTGCATGCTTCTTTTACATTCAAAAGGTTTCAAGTGAGGGAGGGAGGGGTTATTCTTTTCAGTTAAAAAAAAATAAGCTCATTACACTTTTCCAAAATGTTTTAAAAAGTATGAATTACGGAAAATCCTAAACAAATTTGATATACAAAGTACACATTCATATTTATTTAGGCCTTTTTTTATATTTCTATCTTTACACAAATCTGAAGAAAGTTGTGAGAAAAGTTTGAAAAACTTTTTTTAAAACTGGAATATACTCAAAATAGTAAGGAAAATCTGATGTTTGTTCATTGCTACGAAAGAAGTGAGAATTTTTTTGGCACATGTAAATTTGGCTTTTACAGATTCCTTGTAAAGGTCAGAACTTGGCAAAAATCTTAAATTCATTTTGTGTTTTGCACATACAATCAGTTACTTAATAATTGAAGTTATGGGAAAAATTAAAGAAAATTTAAATTCATAGAAGTAAAAATTTGAAATAAGGTAAAGAATTTTTTTTATCTTCTTTTATTGATTCTTTTCTATTTTATTTATTGCTAGCTGTTAGTGTTGCTCGGTTTCAAGTAAATAAACAAAAACAAATTAGCAAAAATACAGCAGCAAATAAGATAAAATGAAAAAAAAGAAGCTCCCTGTCTTCCATTGAAGAAACAATATAAAAAGCATTGCAAATAAAGATCAAATTTTTTATGTTAAAAAATAGTGGCCTCATACAAGTTGTCCTAGTGTAAGCAATAAATAGGCAAGATGACAATCTGGAGGCAATAAATAGGCAAGATGACAATCTGGAGGCAATAAATACACAAGATGATTGAATGATTTGTTTTTTATTATGCAATCTTCATACAATCTAAAAATTATTTTCTGATTTTAATTAAGCCAGGAAATATTTTTAGATTGTAAGAATTTTTTTGTGGGTAATAATGATTTATTGTCCTACTAATTAACTCATAGCTTGGGGGAAGGAAAAAGTGGATACAAACTTTTCACAAGGATATTTGCATGTAAGTGAAGACAATGAATTCAAATGGAATTGAAACTCATCTCTCTGACTTCCAATTTCAAGCCATTATCCATTATGCCACCCACATATCCAAGGTTAAGGCACCTGATATTCCCAAGCAGTCACCCATCTTGGTACTGACCAGGCTTAATGTTGATTATCTTTGGTGAATGTACAATCTTTGTGAATGTTTCACTATGATATGGGCAAGATGACAATCTGGAGGCAATAAGTAGTAAGATGAAAATCTGGAGGTGAAAAATAGGCAAAGAGTGGCAACCTTGAATTACAATCTGTATGAGAACTGGTGTTTCACCATAATATGGTCATAAACACCAATGGGCAAGATGACAATCTGGAGGTAATAAATAAGCAAAGATGACAATCTGGACATAACAAATAGGCAAAGATTGGCAATCTGAAATCACAATCTGCATGAGAACTGGTGCTTCACAATGTTATGGCCATAAACCCAATGGGCAAGATGACAATCTGTTGTCAACAAATAGGCAAAGATGACAATCTGTTGTCAACAAATAGGCAAAATGGCAATCTGGAATCACAATCTGTTTTCTATTTTAGATAAGCATCGTTGTCGGCATAACAAAGTTTTAATTTTGAACAACAACGGAATCTAGCAGTCATTTTGTTTTCTTTCTTGTGATCTATATTGGAAATCATAAATATAAACTGGTTGGATTTGTCTGTGCTGATGTGGGGGTATTTAAATGTTAGCTTGAGCCCCAGGGGGGAGCCGGAGCACCTGAGTTACTTTCAAAATAGGAAGTGCTGAGGATGTTGAGCAATTTTTGCTCCCAGTCTATGTTTGTGTGGGCTATCAACCCACTTTAAACTTGATCTTATATCCCATTTCACTTGATTAGCCATGTGGATAGATAACTATATATACTTAGTACTTTGTGGCTACCAGTTGTAAACTGGGGAGATTGAACTATAGGATTTTTGCAACTGGATCACAAAGCAGTTGGGTTGTCTCATGTGTTAGGATGTGTCTGGGGATTTCTTTTGACCCTCTGGGTTGTTGACTGAAATTAAATTTCTTGAAATACTAGGATTCAACAAAGATGACTCCAGTGCCTCTTCAAGCTTAACACTTATTTTATTGCTGTGATAACAATTTGCAAATCATGTAAGTTGTTAATAGAAAAAATGTCTCTTGCTTGAGGCTTGTGATAATTTCAGTTTTGCTGGGAATGATGTCACTGGTTGCTAAAGAGAGACGTTAACATCTTGTCAATATAGAATCATCCAGTTTCATTACCACAGGAGTAAGATTCTCCTTTAAGTACCCCTCAGCTATTTTTGTTGAGAGTAGACATTAGTTAGACAATAGTGGGTTATCAAACCTTGATCACCAACCAACATTCACCTTGTCCTGAATGACTGGAATTGTGTATTTTTTTTATATATACTAATATTAATTCAATACAAGGCTGAAGAGCCAATCAATGTAGAGGGTTAGTGTTGTGTTGAAAGAGCATAAGAAAAGACAAGAAGGGAAGTTCTAATAATAAGTAATAATAATAGTGATAGGTCACCAAGAGGCTCACAATATTTCATCTGTGGGAAAGGAGATGTAGGGTTGAAAATAATTCCTTACCCACAAGGCAGCATAGGCACTTTTAGACTGTATTAAGACAGGCAAGTGAGGACTGGGCAGTTTCAGCACTGATATGGCAACAATACTCCATTTTTGGTTTGATCAGGCTCTTGTAAAAATAGAGTATAGCAGGAAGAGTCAGATACTTGTATTGCACTTAAATTTTTAAAGTCAAGATAGTAAAGAGGAAAGCTGATCAGAACAATTATTATGAAAATAGGACCATTAATATTGTAGATTCCTCTTTGGATTTTGTCAAGGATCTCTAAATACATAGCAAAAGCACCAGACCAGAATGAAATAGTTTTGTTTCATTCTTAATTGTTGTTTAATGGCACCTCAACTCCTTATGGGTCATTTAATGCTGAAATTTAATTTTCCCCAGAGCTTTGAAGTAATAAAAATGTTAGGTTATTTTGTTTACACAATTGAATATATGGTGGATGATACTCAGCTTTTGTGCATATACATGTTTGTGTGGACATGATTATTAGAGGTGGTGATATGTGTGTTTTATGTTGTAGTTTTGTTGAAGCTATATTTTGGAATACAGTTTGATTTCTTTAAGAAATTGTACGATATTATATGAACTAATGTCATGAAAGAATTCTTTCATATTGGTTGTTTGGTTTGTTGATTTTGTTTAGCAACATATCAACACCTCTATGGGTCTTTTAATGCTGAAATCTAAATATTTTTACGTAATTTTATGCTTTCAATTACAGATATTTTGTATATGATTTTATACTTTTAATGTAAAAGTATATTTTTTAGATATATATTTTGTAGATCATAAAATGTATTGTTGGTAATTTTACTATAAAAGTGTACTGTTAATTTTTGTTTAGGGATTCACTTTTTCCCATAGTTGAAACCCTAACAGGTGCTACCACTCTGAGTTAGGGTAACAACAGCAATTAAGTGGTTTCATGATCCCAAAAGCTCCAATCTTCTGATCAGATGCCTTGCTGCCAAATGTAGTCTCATGACTATTCATTCTTAATTAAATTCCACATGAAGACTGGAAATTTGACTTTTATTCTAAAACCTCTGAATATTATTATGCCATATATTTGTGTCTCTTGGCTAGGTGCCTTTCAAAATCACAATGGAAATGAGGATGTCTGACCTTTCTATTTTTACATTATGAGGGGATGCTGAAAAGTTCCTGGCTTTAACCCACTTCTCCAAATCTTGACTGAATGTTCAATAATATTTTACTTTGTTTTCTTGGTTGGGTCAAGAACTTTTCAGCCTCAAATGCAATTCTGATATTTACAACTGTTGAATAATTAATATTTTATAAGTA